GAAAGCCTCTAAGTCAGAAGTACAATTTATTAGGAAAAAGGGAACAAAGAACCAAATACATACAATAGCACAAAGAAGAACCACTGATAGAGTTAGAGATAGAACCTGACACTTGCTGGCTAGGGCGGTGGTAGCAGATATGGTTCTGTCCAGGCAGTGGTCCTGTAGACTGATGTAGTTTCCCTCTGGAGGTCCAGTGTAGAGAAGGTCCCAGCTGTTCCTCTTGGAAGAGGGGATCTACTTGCTGTCTGCACAACCCCGCTTATATCCTTGATGGCATCGTTTGGCTCCTCCCTCTGGGCGGAGCATCTCACAATAGAATGCTGTGATCTTATCAGTCATGTGGCTAGAAGAACAGGTCATCCTGGAGGGACTTATCTCTGAGTCACGAGATAAGGAAAGAAAGGGATTGCAGCTCGAGGTGGTAATGGAATACACCCCAATATTATAACCTAGGACAGTGTTAGACACTGCCACTGACTCCCAAAGTTTCAGACTAAGGAGAAGCTGGAGTTACTGAAACAGCGGCATCTCAAGAGCCTGAATCAAGGATCAAAGCCATTAATTTTTAAAAAGTTTCCATTATTGAAAGCATTTCATTATAATATTAACCCCCCACTTCTTTTTAAATATACTTGTGGCCCTATTTATTAAAAAGATTCTGTTCAGAACAGTGTAAAAAAGCAGACAGTTTTTTTTTCTTGGCCCACATCTTTCTATATTGAGATCACTGAGACCGAATATAATGACATCATTCAAAAGAGTTGCCATATTATAAATGGACTCTTTTGCTACAAATTATAACTTTATTTCCAGTTAGAATTCCACCTTCTTTTAGAAGTCTAAAGACTCAAACAGTGATAACAGTTTAGAAATCTAATGATATTTTCAGTACAATGACATTCTTACATTTTACAATTCATTGGAAATCTCTCAACTGATGTATATTTTATATTTGTAGAAATTTTTATTCAGTTTAGTAGTATAACCTTTTTTTAACCTTTTTTATTTTCCCTTTTAACTTCTCAGATGCTGGTTATCCTTTGTATAGCAGATTAATTGTTTGCCAGCTATACATATATGGCAAGATGCCCAGTATCAGCTGAGCTGTGAAAATCAAAGTATGAAAATATCTCCATGTGTGAGCTCAGCAAGAAACAAATATTACCCTCTGCTTAAAAAGAAAAAAAAAAAAAAAAAAAAAAAACCAAACAAAAAACCAAGAGAACTCAACACATTTACTGAGGAAATCTTTGATCTTCTAAAATGAAAGTAAGGGAAAAATCATCATGAGCAAATTTTACCCTGTCAGAGAACTCTTGTCTAACCTATTTTCTTAACAGATTTGGTCTAATAATTATTATTTCTCACACCTCTTTGTAAAATATTATGAGATCTACTGATAAAAATGTTAACAAATAAAATAATATTTATCTCTTATACATCATAACTTGTTCATTTTATATACTTTCCTATGATAATAATTTGTTCATATCTTGCTTATGATTACAACTAAGACAACTCATGTTTTGAACCTATGAATAAAGTGCATCACTTGTCTAACTACTTGCTCAGATTCTCCCATATCCAGGTAGTTTACCACCACCCCTGTTGTGGCAGCCAGAGAACATGTACAACTGTTATGAAAATAGTTGTATTTTCTGAAAACGTACCTTCAATGTAATTTACAAAAATAATTTACTAATACAGATGTTTCACTATCTGTCAGTCAGTACAAGATGGTTTGATAACATTGTTTTTGAAATATATTTCCTGTTGTCTCTTCAGTTCTCCAGAAGGATCCAATGTCAATTTTAATAATGTGTTAACATTCCAGTCCTGTGTAATTTATGCAGCATCAAGTTTTTTTTTTGAATTATGAGATATGAGTTGGAGAAAATTTCCTTTATGTATTACTCTCTACAGCCTCATAGCACAAATCCTGGAACACCCATTGTCCACAAAGTAAGATGCATTTCCATAGCAAGGCTGATTAATCTATGATGAGAATGGTAGATGACCTTCACTGGGATATGTGTCAATAAAAATAGAGATGGTGAATTCAGATGGCTTTTTTGCAAGGACAGAACCACCTCCCCTCCACCCCCACTATTACATCTGGATCCAATTGTAAGAGTTTCTGGAACAAGTGGAGGTATACAGAATCATAGAGCCATTTAGGTTGGAAAAAGACCCTTAAAATCAAATCCAAGTATTAACCCAGCATTGCCAAGTCCACACTAGCCCATGTCCCTAACTGCCATATACACAAAGGAACTTGTTCTGGCCTCAGATCTGACTCTGCTAGGAGCAGAAGGCTGGACTGAAGACCTCCAGAGCCCTGTCCAACCTGAAATATCCTATTGTAGTATGCTCTTGCTGTCAGTCTGTACACTAGTCCAACAACAGGTGTGGTATGTCTGCATGCAGGTAGTGCATCAATAGTTGGACCAGCTAGTAGCTTGGCTAGTGGAGGGGTAAATAGACTTGTGGGACCAAATCTGTTGTCAAACAACATTAATGAAAACCTGACAAGCCCAAGATTCAGCAGAACCATCTATAGTCACAGATAAATGCTACAGGCACAAACATACCTGTACCATGCCTACTCTTCAGTTTCTGAAGCCAACCTACCCACACACCCTAGAGTAATCTGGGTGTTTGCCAAACCGCAAGATTATGAAACAAGGAGAGGCACAGGTTAAACAGCAGCAGTTTACCCTTGTTATATTTTCTCTTTGCTCCTCTATGTCTCTGTACATTTGGAATGTAAGTTCTTCAGAAGATAGAATGGGATTTTCTCTTAGTGTCTCATATATTGACTGAGGAGGCCAAGTGCTGTGGCCTCTGACTTGTATCTTAGATGTTGGGGTAGGACAAATGCTATGCAATAACCACAACTTCATGCTCTGAGAGATTTTCAGGCTAGGGAAATAATTCTATCTGTTCAACTGATGTACCTCTGTAAGAAAAGAACTCATTCTTTATGGAAGCCCTTAGAAGATAGTGTAGGTGCCATATCTCTTGGCAGCATATTTCAACCATTAACATCTTCCACTGTTAAAAAAATGTGTGCTATTTATGATTAAATTCTGTTTCATTCCAGTTTATAGGTATTTTTCATGTTATGCCTCTCACTGTGCAAGATTAAAGATCACTGTAGACACCTTCCAGTCTTTTTGAAAAGTCAAGCAGATTGTGCTCTTTAAGTCTCATCATACAAAGAATTTTTTCCTGCCTCAAGTAATTCTAATTATCCCAAAAGGCTCGATGATGACAATTATGGGATGATTTTCAATTCTATTCTTCATTTCCTCACATTTTACTCTAGTGGAATGGTTGATCATATAGAAAGTGTTTCTGTATTTCCCCTCATTCTATGTGGCGTGAGTTCAGTTTGCTTATAACACATCAACTCAGTTTACACATAACAAAATCAGGATCTCTGTATGTCACTAATTAACATCTTCCTAGCTGCTCTTAGTCTCCAACCACAATTATCCACCCCTGCCAGATACAGGCCAACCACACCCATACATTCTCCAAGCTTTTTGAAATGTAATCCAATAATAACTGAAATAACTCCAAAATAACTGAATTTTTGCCTTGGAACTAGAGACAGAAAGAGCACTTCACAACAAGAATATTTTACCTTCTTTCTCTAATTTATGGGCAGGAAGAAACTTCTAGGCAATCTCTGATTTTCCAGTTGAGTGCCTTTCAAAATTTCCTGCGGTATCCTCTGGCCTGAACGGTTCCACTTGATGCCACATAATTGGTTTGAAACTGAATTATCTCCCAGATAACAGTATCGGCTTCTGCAACAGTGCAATTGCTTTTTGTGCTTTTCTGCTTCAGGGAGACAGCAGACTGCCTTATTCTTTTCATGTCATGTTTTGAAATGTGGTCTACTCTGCATGATAGACGAGTATCTGTTGCGGTGGGTCTGACTAATACTGTAAGGAATTGTTTTGGAGATGTTTCTGACAGCAAATGTATTTCAGTAGATGAAGTGCTGGATATCTGAAGGTTTGACACGTCTAACCTGCTAAATAGCCATTCTTGCTTTTTTTGCTTAAAAATGGCCAATCCACTAGTTTTGTTTCTATTCTTTCTCATTCCCCTGATGCTGTCCTCCCCCATGGTTTCTGTGGCAACAGTTTCAGAATGTATTAATCCAAGAGGTGTTCATTTTCTCAGCTAGTATACTTTTGAAATACACAATTTGAGATGACAGGTATCTTATAAAATGGTTTTATGTGATATAAAACCAATTTCAGGATATTTCAGGTTGCTGTAGAGTTCATTTACAATACTTTCTAAAGTCATATTCTTTGTTTCAGCTGAAGGAACATTTACTATTCCATTAACTTAGTTGCTAAAGAACATTTACTTCTGAAGATCGTAGAAATTGTAATGATTTCATGTCATAAATATTAAAACACCTTATAGTGAATAGATGTATTTATGAGCAAGACCTTGTGTACATTGACATTGTTCTTAATAATAATGCATCTTGATCTTCTAGATTTTTTCCTATATATGAAAAAAGACAGCTTGGCAGATATCTTGGCTAGCTTTGTGCTTCTTTAGTGCAGGTATCAACATCTCGAACAAGTCATCCAGATTTCTTCTTACAATTCGCAGACAAACAACACGATTAAGCTCTTTCTCAGGTAGGTCCCTCAATTACGTGGTAGGACTACTTTAGACATCAGCTTCATTTTCCCAAATGTCTGAGGCCGGGGCACTGTGGTCCCTTTCAGCCTGACCCATCCTGTGATTCCGTGGTCAGGTATTGGAGTAGGTTGCCTTGACGATTCGATGACTGTACAAACTCTGGTGTCGCTGACGGATCCCTCCCCTCCGCGCCTCCCGCGGCACCGGGCGCGCTCGGCCGAGTTCGGCGGCCCTGGCGGAGCGGGGCGGGGCGGGGCGGGGCGGAGGGGCGGGCGGGAGCCGGGCGCTGACCCGGCGGGAGGCGGGGCCGCGCCGCGCCGGGCGGGATCGCTGGGAGCCGGCGGGCGCGGGTGGCGGGCGCGGGGCTGCGCGGCGGCGGTGGGAGCTGCGCGCCCGGCCACGGGCTGCCGGCTGCCCCCGCCGCCTGCCTTTCTTCCTTCCTTCCTTTACTGCCTCCCTCCCTTCCCTTCCCCTCCTGCTCCCGCCCGGCCCGGCTCCGCTCGGCTCGGCGCTGTGATTGGGCGGAAGATGGCGCTGGGCGGATGGAAATCCTAATGACAGTCTCCAAAATCGCCTCCATCTGTACCATGGTGAGCGAGGGGCCGGGGCCGTGCCGGCTCCCAGGCTGGGGACGCGGGCGGCGGCAGCAGTGCGGGGGACGGGCAGCGGGGGAGGCCGGGCGAGGGCGCGGGGCGGTGTCCCCGGGGCGGGGCGGGAGCGCTGCCGTGGGTGGCGGTCGGGAGCGGAGCGGGGTTAATCGGCTTTGGGAGACTCAGACGGGATGCGGGCGCTGAGGGGGTTGAGCTGTGCGGGCGGCGAAGCGGGGTCCCGGCTGCGGACGGGGCTGGAGCGCGGGGGTACCGAGCGCAGCCTTCCCCAAAGTGTGCCGAAAGCGGGGGCAGCGCTCCGCGGCATCGCCTCCGGTCCGGGGCTGCCTATTGCAGGCATGTGGTGGTTACGGAAGGGTTTCTGGAAGCGCCCTCCTTCTCCCGACTCACTCCGTAGCGTCCGTGCTCTCCCTCCGAGTGCTGCGCTCCTGAGCTGGGGCTGGAATCGCCCATCCACGGGCGGGTGCTCCCCGGGTTACCCGGACACATGCGGGCACCCATCCCGCCCCGGTGTGCATCCATCCACGTCCCGACAGCAGAATTCTCCCTGTGATTGCTTTCTCATTGCTCTCTCTCTCTGTGGTGAATTAGAGCCATAAGGAGCAGCACAGATGTGATAAAGCTCTCTTGGGTTGTTTTAAAGATGGGTGGGGAGCTCAATAGATTCGCTGATGGAGGAGTGATGAATTTAGGGAAGGAAATATCCCTTAGTCAGCAGAAGTTACTGCTTGTTATGGAAGAGATGTGTTGATGGTCCATAGCAGAAGTTCTTATATTTGCGCTCTCTTTACCTATTCCATGGCCGTGTGAAAGTTCTTGTTACCAAATGTGTTTCCACGGGGGAAGGGAAGAGATGGATAAGGGAAAGAACATGTGGAAGGGCCCGGCTGGCACAGCCGCGTGGTCACCACGAGAGTGGCGCCTCAGGGGAGAATCATCTGCCCCTGATGGTGCTGAGTGCTGCTCGTGGGTGCAGCTTGGGTAACTGCACGCCGAGAGGAGGTGAAGGGATGAGAGCGGACACTTGTATGCCAGCCCAAATTGTCCTTTATTTCCCCAGGTGGGGCAAGAAAGGTGCCCTTTCGGTGGGTGCAGTGACAAATGCCAAAGAAATCAAAGATTACAGCAACTTAAATAGGGGGTGGGCGGACAGGGGTGCAAACCTGTCTTGCCCAATGGGGATAAACCAGAGAGGGACACAACAACGTATGATAATGTAACAGGGGTAGGTACAAGGTCAGAGGACAAACAGAAAGGCTAAACTGGAGTGATTGATACAGAACTTTCTGGAAGAAACTGGGGGGGATTACAGGATTGACAGCCAAAAGGGTATAAACAAACTCGGATTGATGGACCCAAATAAAGAGAAAACAGGGAGCGGTGAGAAGATTGGCAGGTAACTGGGGAGCCAAGTGGCAGGAACTTTAGGGGTAAACAGCTTGGGTCAAAACAACTGTGAGGGGACAAATGGGGGAGCATAAAGGCTAACTAACTCTGATAAAACCAACTGACTAAAACCACACTGCAACAAACATGCTCTGTCATCTACTCTGTTAATTTGTTGAATTGCCATTATTATGTCTCATCAAACAGTGGGAAATGCTTATGTTTCATATTATTGGAAACTGATTTATGCTTTTCATAAGTCGTGCTGCAAAGAGGCTTGAATGTCTCAAACAGATATTTTAGAGGTGGCCTGTGAGAATTTTGAGTGAATATCTATAAGCCGAGAGGATGGGATTGCTCAGGTGGTGTTTAGTCACTGGAATAAAGTGTCTTTTTTGACATGGGAGATGACATATTTTAGTTTGGAATTGGAAGAGTCTGACTTCTTGAATTTATCAGCTGTATATTTATCAGGTGCTGTACTAACATCTTTATGTGGCCAGATTGGTAGGACATGTACCATGTGCTTCAGGAGTTTCCATTCTCCAAAGGCAAGTTTTAGGTTTTTGAGGAGTCAGTGTGATTGTTCCCTGAGCTGGGGCAATCTTTTATTGCAATTCTATCTGACATCTTTTCACCCAGAGTTGGCCGCTCGCCTTTGTGTCAGCATAAATTCAGTGCTGGCCTCTTGATTTGGGTCAAGTGCGAGGCCTCACTGCTCTGCTTCTGGACTATATACAAACCATAGGTCTAGACTGGACAAGCAGATAGTTTAAGATTATTCTCTGTGTACGCTTATTAGAAATGATGTTATGTTACTGAGATTTAGGTCAATCCTGAAACAAATTTTTCAACTAAAAATCTTATTATTGCTAACTAAAGTGTCTGTATTCATAAAGCTGAAATTCTGATGGCAATTAGATATTATCTGTCCAGTCACTGTCATGTGCACTGAAGTGGATGAACTCCAGGCATAAGATTTTTGCTGGGCCTTTCTGATCCATAAGCTTTAACAGAACTGTGATAGGGGACTCCTAACATAGGATACCAGCCGTAAAAGCTTTTCAGCAGTTAATATGAGATTGTGCTTAAAAGTGTATCTGTAAAGATAGTATGAAGGAGCACGTGGTATTTACTGTGGTGTTGTTCAGAACCGTGTGGTTGAGGCGAGGCAGATCTTTTTAATTCTAACAAGATTCAAATACTTATGTTTAAGCATATGTTTTACAAAATTGAAGAGGATTATAATTGCTGAGTAATACTATTTCTTTTTTCTGGCAATGCTTCTTTGTGTCAACACACTTCGATAAAGTGCCAGACAACTACCTAAGAATTCTTACAAGTTTTATTTGCCTTTGCCCATGCCTGTTAGAAGAACTCTCAGGCTGTTCTGTGTCTCCTTGTGAAGCCAAAGTTCTGGTTAGTACAAAACCAGTAACAGCCAATTTTTGTCAAGAGACAGTTTATTCCTACACAAACCTAACATGTGCGTACACTTATTATCTGTAACAGAGCTGTCTAGAACTGTATTGAAGAAAGTCTTCCATTGCAGTTCTGTGTTTCATGACTTTTTTCTTTTTTTAATCTAATTCAAGTTTTGCTTCTGATGACCCATTTATATTTTATGTGCCTTACCCCTGTTGTTCAAGCCCCAAATATTATAATAGTATATGATGTTTTACATAATAAATGTATGGGCAGATTGTGTATGTACAGTGAAGCGTGATAACCAGTATATTTAGTTTATCTGTGGTACCTTTTGGGGATGATCTTCCAAGAGGACATCCTCTCTGTTGGTTGATACCTGTCTATCTGCTGCATTGATCAAACACCTCAGTGTTCATACCAATGTTAACAGAGCTCTTTCTGCAGTAGTATGTCCTACTGTTATATTGCATTTCAGTTTCCTTTTCATACCAATGTTAACAGAGCTCTTTCTGCAGTAGTATGTCCTACTGTTATATTGCATTTCAGTTTCCTTTTCATACCAATGTTAACAGAGCTCTTTCTGCAGTAGTATGTCCTACTGTTATATTGCATTTCAGTTTCCTTAAAATTCTTTGCTCTATATCACCATTCACATGCTTCCTTGTGCTGTAGTAAGTCTTAGTTGCAAGGCTGGAGATTGTGGAAAAGCACTGAAAATACCTTTGCCCTTGAGTGCTTTAGCCACTGTTCTTGTTGCAAAATGGATGAGGTTAAAATTGTGTGGTCTACTTCTTAAAACCATTTTTAAAGTCTTTGCAGTAAAAGTAGAACTTGGTCTTTACCCTCATCCATGAGTAAAATTGCAATTAAAGCCTTACTTGACTGTACTATATGGGATTTTTAATGCATGGCTGAGGAGGGATAAAGTAACCTAGGCTAATGAAGATGTGCCCCATGTTATACTCACAGATTGCATCTAGTACTTCTGCTTCTGTTGTCTAGAATCCAGGAAACACTTGCTAGTTAAAAGGCATCAAGTCTTTGAGTAGCTGAAGCAAAGAGAAGCTAGGAATTACATTTCTAGCTTAAAAGCTATGAAAAGCCTCTAAAATGTCAGTCTCAGACATAGACAAGGAACTTATAATGGTAGTAGTACTTCTTTTCAGTGTTTCTTCTAGAAAGTGGTTGATGATGTTGGCACAACCTGAAAAAGTGTGATAATTTAAAACTCTGCTAATTTAGAAGCTATATCATCAGACATCAAAGTCATAATGTTTTGGGTGTTTGTCTATGTATTCCCTTTTCTGTCTGCCATCTATGTCAGCATCTTGCATACAGGGTCTGTCACTGAATGTCTTCAGTGATTGTTTCAGCCCCCAGCACTGACATCAAATACATAGTTGGTGGTTGGATGTTGATTGTGTGATGTAACAGCGTGTTCTGTGTGAGAACCTCTGCTTTTCTTACAATCCAAATTTTTGTTCTGTTTTTGAGAGAATTTAAGACGTGGAGCCACTGTGAATGACTGGCTATTGTCCATTTCCTGCCTGCCTCCTCTTGAGGGTCACTGTTACAAGCATCCTTTCTCCCATTTCAGTCACATTTCGCAAGGGTGAAGATGTTTCAGAGGTACTAGGGTTGAAACAAACATGTGTGAGAAAAGGCGTCTTAGAGGAAACAGACCCTGGAAGTGCCCAGCTGAGGGAAGTTTGAAGTGCACCTACCTTGTGTGTCGTAGCATAGAGGCTTAATAAACACTCCCAGTTGCAGGAAAATTTTCTAGCTAACTGTGAGAGAAGTGTGTATTTATGGGCTTTCTTACTGCTTCAGGAATTGTTTGTTTACAATAGGGTTTCAAACCTGATTGTGAAATCTGCACTTAATGTAAATTGATGTTTGCCAGAGTCTGCAGCCAGCCAGCAATGGCTATGATGTACTCAATCGTGTTCCTTCTAATTGCACTGTCTCCTCTGAAGCACAAATTATAAGACTTAAACATTAATTGATGATCAGGTTAGCAGATTCCTCAGGAAAGTATATAGAAGACCCATGCTGGAAGAAACGAGAATTGAATTACAGCAAGGAAAGAAAAATTATGGGAGAACAGCTTCAAAACTGAGGAGAGGACAGAAAAAAACTATCAGAGAAGGAAAGGACTAAAGTAACAC